ATCAACAGCAAATAACGAAAACTGGAGCACTAATAAGCTATAGAATTTGTTTATACTGCAATGCATGCTCGGATTTTTGTACTTTGCCACACCCAGCAAGTGTAAGGTGTAGGCCAGATCTGGGCCAGAATAAAAGCAGAATGTGGCTAAGAATAGGCTCAGTTCTGGTTCACTTGGTTGAATTCTCGCTGGCATGTGAAATGTCTATGGCTTAATTGTGGCCCATATCTGGCAAACAGGAGTGGACCGCCCTATTGCCTTCTCGGTAATAATTGTGTGCCATATTGCGGTATGTGGGCCGGAGTGTCTGGCGTGGGCCGAATTTGAGCCACATGAATTTTGTTGTCTGTGCTGCAACGTGACGTAGGGGTGCAGTGTCCCCTCCCATCGAATTGATTGACAGAAGCGTATTGACATCTCTCCATAGTAACGCATATATTCATATCAACAAGACAGGACGTGTGCAAAGCAACAGCGATTAAAAGATCTGTTTAGCTCGCTGTGATTACCAGTCATCATCAAATGAGTTCAAGAATGAGGTTTACAAGTTTAAAACGTTTTTAAAAACAGTGCATGTTTTTCAATAAGACCCTAAAATAGCTACATAATTAATCACGACAGCAGCATATCAGTACAATTATAAAAGTAGACGCTTCAATTCTGGTTTATGTTAAATCAGGTTTACTTTGTACAGTAACATAACAAATATCCATACAGCAGTGGATGCTATTTCCTACTATAACTATTTCCTGTTACATTCGCATGTAAAAACAGTGCAAAGTTGAATGCTCACACTATGTGTGTGTGTGTGTGTGTGTGTGTGTGTGTGTGTGTGTGTGTGTGTGTGTGTGTGTGTGTGTGTGTGTGTGTGTGTGTGTGTGTGTGTTTGTGTGTGTGTGTGTGTGTGTGTGTGTGTGTGTGTGTGTGTGTGTGTGTGAGAGACGGATATACATTCTGATAGGCACGTGGGAACAGTGGGCGGGGAGAACCAGCATTAAAGGCACAGGCAACAACATTGTGTTCAAAGCAGAAAAATACAATATTCTAAAAGGTCTAATGAATAATCTGATGGGTGTGTTGAGCTGAAACTTTATAGACACTTCCTGAAGACACAAAAGACTTATCTTAAATCTTGAAAAAGGGGTCAAATAGGTGCTCTTTAAACTGTGAGAGATGACTGGCAGAATGCACATAACCAAGCAACAGAACTCTTAATGACAAAGTAATATGTCCTTGGCATATACTTTGCTCACTCTTCTGTTACAGACTCAAAAGTATTTAATTTTTCTTCATAATAACAGTACATGCTTTTGAAATATAGTACAAGCTGGCAAATTATGACACAGTACACCACATTTTTGCAACTACTGTAAGAATTAAATCCATTTGTAAACTCCAATGATGAATTGACTTCCAAAGGCTATGTTTAATTAATTACAGTACATTGGTATTCCACCGAATGCAGGATTTCCATGGTTGTAGGCTCTATGCCAGTACGGATTGAGGAAATGACTTGTGATATCCGAAAAAAGAAGAGGGAGCTGCGTGTTTATTTGGCCAAGATAAAACTGCCTCATTTTTATACAATAAAAGTTAGTTCATGCGCTCTGAGTCAAGCTGACGGTGCATGAGGCTTGTCTTTTTCCCCCAACTGCTCTCCGCTCTCGACTGATGCTGAGAGACAGTTGTGCAAAGCTTGTGGATGCCTTGAGAAGGAGAAAAGAAGGAGAGGTCATATACCGGTGTCTGCCACCGATGGGGTTTTGGGGACTGTCAGATTCAATGCCTCGCTCTCTCATTCATAGTCCTGCGTGAGAACAAACGTCTGCCGGGTCACCAGTGTGTGATGAATCTGTTTGCAATTTATGCGGTGCAGCACCCTGTAAAACCATATGTGCTCTGAGGGCCAATTCAGTTTTGCAAATCTGCAATGTCAAAGCAGAATAACAAAGTGTTTGAAATTGTTTTTTAATTACGATTGTTTTGTATGGATAAAGTGTACTATTTAATAAGCAGGTGCTTGCTTGTATATCACATGGGTTTTCTGCTTTATTGGATAGATGAAGCACTGCATCCCTTATCTTGGGAATACTCCCACACTTCAGGTAAATGCACTTACATGCCTCTGGATTATTTATTTAAAAAAATTCTCCTGACATAACAAAAAACACCAGCTAATAATGCAAAGATGTATTTTAAAGAAAACAAAAATGCATTACAACAGGTGAAAAGTAGGCTATTTGGTGTTTAAATATTATTTACAATAGCTAACTAATGGAATTGAGTTTAATTATTGAACAGTTATGCATTATATAATATAACCCTGTTTGTTAATATTATTCAGCAAAGATGCTATAAAACAATTCACAGTTTTACAAGTATTTCAAATATTAAATGATACATTTAAATGATGAAAACTATATTTATATATTTAGTTTGAGCTCTGTCATCATTTAATCTGAAATTTTTGATTTAGATTTTTTTATGGATTTTATTTTAAATCCATTCATTTTATATCTCATTTGCTATTTATTTATCCAAATTTCTGTATTTCTGCTCTGCGTATTACTTAAATTGGGTAAAACAAAATTGGCCGTAGTGTATGAATGTGTGTGAATGAGTGTGTATGGGTGTTTTCCAGTTCTGGGTTGCGGTTGGAAGGGCATCCGCTGTGTAAAACATATGCTGGAATAGTTGGTGGTTTATTCTGCTGTGGTGACAAAATGTATGGATGAATGGAAAATGTATGAATGAATGAAGGAATATTACTTAATATTTATATTATGATATATTATATTAATTTATTAATATTATATTATAATTACTTATAGGGCAGCATAGTGTCGCAGTGGGTAGCACAATTGCCTCACAGCAAGAAGGTCGCTGGTTCGAGCCCTGGCTGGGTCAGTTAGAATTTCTGTGTGGAGTTTGCATGTTCTCCCTGTGTTTGCGTAGTTTCCTCCAGGTGCTCTGGTTTCCCCCACAAGTCCAAAAACAATTGGTATAGGTGAATTGGGTAAGCTTAAATTGTCCCTAGTGTATATGTGTGAATAAGAGTGTATGCATGTTTCCCAGTGATGGGTTGCAGCTGGAAGGACATCCGCTTTCTAAAACATATGCTGGATAAGTTGACGGTTTATTCTGCTGTGGTTACCCCAGACTAATAAATGGACCAAGCCGAAAAGAAAATGAGTTAATGATTTATTTAGTACATTTTTAGAAATCAAGGTACACAAACTGTCACTGGGGTGGTACTTTTTTAATAGGTAAACATTTTCACTTTTTATTGGTCGCTTAAAATTATATATTAGCACCTAAAATATTTAAGATGAACATTTTTGTACTTTTTAGGTACTAATATGTTGCCTTAAAGTATTAATATGGACATTTTAGGTACAAAACTTTACCTTTTGAAAAGTGACAGCTCGCATACCTTTATTTCTAAGAGTGTATGATTCATTTTTTGCTTGTATCTGAAAGGTTAACCATTGATTGTTTTCGTATATTAAATACATACAGTACATTGTTGTAGTTTTGTTTGTTTTTTACTTTTTACTTAAAATATTCTTTATTAATATTCCAAAGAAGAGTAGTCTTCTAAAATTACTGTCTAAAACAACAGGTTCCTTGTGATAATTTATAAACGTGTCTATTTCTTATAAGAATTAATTAAAAAGTATTACATTTTCTTTGTAGTCAAGAACTCTAAAAATAAGCCAAAATATATGCCATTTTAAGAGACATTCAATTTATACAAGGTGCATTTTCAGATTTAAAACGTTTATAGATTAAAAACTAATTAAATTTGCTGATACTGTATTTTACTCACCCACAGGCCAACTAATATGTAGGTAAATTATTTTAAACATTAGAATAAAAAAGAACATTTTTAGAAACAATGGTCCTTGCTTTGATAGCACGTTTGCATCGCAGAGACATCTATTAGATGTTTTTATGTTACTATCTGGTATACAGTGGTGTGAAAAAGTGTCTGCCCCATATATTTTAGGTATAAGTATAGTGTGTCCACTGTCATATTGGAGTGATAAAAACACTTAGTCGCTTTTTTTTGTGGAATTTTTATGTTTTATTTGTGATTTTTTTTGTATGTTTGTCACACATAGACTTAACATAGTAAACACGTCATGCAGTTTTGAAGATGAAGGTTCATTATATATATAATATAATATAATATAATATAATATATATATATATATATATATATATATATATATATATATATATATATATATATATATATATATATATATATATATATACATATGTTCATTTATTTCTAAGAATAAGTATTTTAACAGCAAATTTCCATTGGGTGTACAGGGTACTATCTCTTTAAGTGCTTTGCTCAATTTCGTATTCTGACAGGAATCATAAATTAAACTTCACAATATTAAAACAGCGACCTTCTGCTTACTGATTAACGTCTTTAACCTCTAAAATAAATTAGGCAGAGGAATGTAATACTTTAGATTTGGAGCACTGATTGCAAACACCTGATGATGCGTTCGGACTACAAACACATCTTTATAAATCCTCACTGAACCAAATAATGATCCATGACGAACATTACCCAATAAGAGGTGCTTAAATCTCCCCTCGGATTCGATACTTTAAATGTAGATTTTACAACCGTCACGTCGTGCTTGCAGCGTATTATCCACAGCAAGTGGTAGAGTAAAATGATTCCTGCAGATAACGCGTGTCCAGATGGCGTCTTTACGCATAATGTTGAAGCGCGCGCCAATCTCGTAAATTGTTTATGTATTGTAATGCATAGTGATTAGACTCTTGGATGAGATTGATCAAACCACAGAATATACAGTTAATGGACCAGTTTATTTAAAAAATAACATGCTGATTATAGACATGCTCTAGCGTGCGGTCGGTCAATGATTGTGTGTGAGAAATTAATAGCAAACAGGAGAGAGAGAGAGACAGAAAAGGAGAGAGGAGGAGGGCGCGCGCAAGTGCTTCCTACCCAAGAACACAAGCATCGGATGCTGACAGACTAAAGTTTCGTCGGCTTGTGTGTATAAGGACAACTTCACAGTACAGGAATGATGCAGAAGCAAAAATGTTTTGGAATTCTACATCTTGGAATTTTTATATGGACGTCATTTTGTATTAAAGGTAGGTGTTGTTTTTTTATATATTTTTTTATTATAATTTTATTATAAGCAATTTGTAGCATAATCAAGTTTACTTGGATTTGTTATGATAAAACTGAACTCACTCAGCATTATATCTATTATATGTTCTACTTCAGCGATGTTAAGCAACTTACATAGCCTAATATGCATAAGCTTTAATAAAGTATGACAAAATATTGACTTAGACTTGTTAAATTTTACCGAGTTTGTGTCATTTCACAGTATAAAACATATAATCATGTGTTTATTTTTATATACAGCTTGTGTACAGTGTCTGTGCGATTTGCCTTGCAGCATCCCGACCTCTTTAAACCCCGTAACATCTGGCATGATCGCACTGACGCATGAGAACTGACAAAAATACCGCAAAACATCCTTAGATCTAGCTGTTCGCTAATACGCGTATGAGATGTGAGCAACAATAACAAGGACTGGACGGAAGGCATGCTTCAGAACCTGTGATTGAAAGGGAGTTTATAGGAGTAGGTATTGATTGAGTGTATAAGTATGCACGCGCATCAAGTGCATGTTTGTATGCTTCCTTTTCATACATTCAATTATCGTCTCGCATATACATCTAATAAGCTCCAGTGATGATATATCTGAATGACATTTCATTCTAACAGGTTTCAGACAGAGTTATTCGCTAGCACAGACAATAGTTCAAAAAGAAAACAAAGCATCAATAATTTGTGTAAACAGGAGTGTAGAAACTGAAGTGTGAATTAAATCCATTGCTGTTGGACTGCATATCAGGACTGTTGGAAAACGAAACAGACTATCAATTAGCTACAAAAAAACAAACAAACACTTTTTTAATGTAATCTACCACTCTCAGATAAGCACTGAAACTGCTCTGAAAAATAAACTTAAATTAAATAAGCTGTACAAAACTTGATTTATGTTGACTTTTTAGATGTAATACATTCCGTTTCTAAAACATGAAAGAGGTGCCTCCTTGTGTTCTTTATTCCCCTTCAAATAGAAAAAAAAGATAAAAGCTCTTTGATTGATTTTGTCTGGACATTCAGTGTGTGTGGGGTTTTACTTCTAACCATTTAAGGTCTGGGATTCCCCTAAACTATTTACAGGGGTCACTTCCCCCCAGCGCCATAAGTATTTCAGCAAAATTAATTCAGTTTATGGCTCTGATCAGCTCTGAGCCAATTATGGTAAAACTGTAAGGCTGAGATTGCAGATTTCTTTAAAAGGTAGAACGGTTGCAGACAAGGGACCCAGATTCCTGAGCCACTCAACAAATTTATAAAATTAATTTGCCTCACAGCGAGGTCGCTGGTTTGAGTCTCGGCTGGGTCAATTGGCGTTTCTGTGTGGAGATTGCATGTTCTTCCCGTACTCTCGTTGGTTTTCTCCAGGTGCTCTGGTTTCACCCACAGTCCAAAGATATGCAATATAGGTGAATTGAATAAACTAAATTGGCCGTAGTGTATGTGTGTGAATGAGTGTGTATGAATGTTTCCCTACACTGGGTTGTAGCTGAAAGGGCATCCACTGTGTAAAACATATGCAGGTTGACAGTTCATTCCGCTGTGTCAACCCCTGATGAATAAAGAAAATAAGCAGAAGGAAACATAAAGAAAAACATTAAAATAACTTTAAAAGAAAAACTTTTTTTTAGAATGGCATTGTTTTCTTTTTAGTTCAAACTAATAGAAATGTTTAGTTTTTCTAAAGAAAAATTGTTTTTCTAAGAACTATTTTACCAAGAGACAATTTCTAATTAATTCAAGCAATGTAATTCAAATAAATTAAATAAACAACAAAGAAGCTTAATCCCTAGTTCTAAAGATATATACATATATATATATATATATATATATATATTCATATTCTAATAAATCCATAAACTTGGCTCTAATTTTTGAATTAGCACAGTTCGAATTGCTATTACTGTCTGTACATTCCTCACCAATTTTGAAAATATATTTGTTGTTTTTTTTCTCCTGGGGACCAGAACAATGGATAATGTCACCAAGCTCTAAAATTGACACATATGTGAGAACCAGTGCATTTGAAAGCAGGTATATACTAATGAGTTTTTTCTGTTTTGACAGCAAAATGCCCTACACACACAAACACACACACACACACACACACACACACACACACACACACACACACACACACACACACACACACACACACACACACACACACACACATATACACACACACATATATATATATAGCCTACAGAAATGTAATTTTATCTGACATTCAGACAATATTCACAGCACACTCCTGGCTATCATGGAGAGTTAGAACTTATATCCTGACCTTAAAATCCCATAGACCAGCAGCTTACACTATCTGGCTGAGAGAAAATGGCCAGCATGTAGATTATAGAGAGGGAGAAAGGGGGGATGGCAGTGTTATGTTTTGGATCAGTAACACACTGGAAAAGACAGACTTGAACATATGGTAGACTAGACCTGAACCCCTATGGAAGAGTGAACCAAGGTTCATCATCATTTTTTGGCTTTCATAACATGGCAAAAAGCATTAAAAGCTGCAAAGCTTTTTTTTTGGAAGCTTTTGTTTTATTATTAGTACATAGGCAATGTGGACATTAATTTGTATGCAAATTCTAAAATAAAATCATCTTACTGCACATGAGTAAAAACAGCCCGATCTTTATTTTGCGCGTCAGAAATGTGTCAATTTGTATGAAATTGTACATTTTTAAAAAACCTCATCCATAAACTCAAGCAACATTTTAGTATTACCAAATTGTGGGAATGAGCTTGTACTGTTTCATGCAAATTAGCTACTAAATCAAAATGATACAAATGATTCCTTGAATGTAATTCCTTGGTAATACATAAGTAAGGTCACTTAATACAGAAGCTAAATTAGTAAAAATATCAGGCTTCTGATAAACTTCTGATAAACTGTTCAGGTGTTTCTAAATGTATCCATCTCATGTCTGCACTAATGTTTTTGATTAATATGCATTTTTTTTACCTTCTGTCCATGTTGACATATTGTTCTTGTTAATTTAACTTAAGCTCTTTAAACATGCTCTACAAAACTATAATGCATTGTCTGTTGATGGCCAACGTGTAGAAAACAAGAAATCTTTTCAAATGACCACTGACATTCCCATAGGGTTCAGTGTAATTCACATCTGAGCTTCTAATTCCAATAAATAATGTCCTGGAATGGGAAGGGGGTGAAAGGTATGGTGTAGCAATTGTGAGGACCCTTTCAAATGCAGGGCCCCAGACAATGTCTGCCTTTCCAGTCCTTTTTCCATGATTGTATTAATTGATTGCTGAAATTGCTCAAATAAATTTAAAAAGCATAGATGCTGTGATTTTTTTTGTCCATGGTTTATCCAATCAGTTTTTTGATTTGGGTTTAGATCTGTTAAAATGTTACAATTAGCCAAAACAAAGACAGCTGTTGTAAAGGTGCTTCTCCTAACATCATTATAAATTACCCTAGTTCTCCAGAGTATACAACACAAACACCATCTGGACCATCTGATACACTTTTTTTTGAAAATTGTAAACGGCTGTTTCATTCTAACTGATTGGGCGCAATACAAATTTCAGAAGTCAGAAGGTACATGTTTTCAAATTTACCAAGTTATCAAATAGTAGTATGCACTGGGCACTCACTAGACTAATTAAAGTTTGCTCAAGATATTCTAGTGTTTTTGAAATCAATAGCAAAAAAATGTTAGCTGTGAGTATAAAGTATGCTTGAGCACAAATGCCTTTCAGTGGTTATTTCATTAATTCATTTTCTTTTCAGCTTAGTCTCTTTATTAATCTGGGATTGCCACAGCAGAATGAATCGCCAACTTATCCAGCATATGTTTTACGCAGAGGATGCCCTTCCAGCTGCAACCCATCACTGGGAAACACCCATACACTCCCATTCAGACACAATACGGACAATATAGCTTATCCAATTCACCTGTAGTGCATCTCTTTGGACTTGTGTGGAGAAACAGGATCACCTAGAGGAAACCCACGAGAACACTTGGAGAACATGCAAACTCCACACAGAAATGCCAACTGACCCAGTCAAGACTCGAATCAGCAACCTTCTTGCTGTGAGGCATTCGTGCTACTCACTGCGCCACCGTGTTGCCTCAGGGTTTGTTTCAGTTCTGTTATTGAAGATTCAATTCCAATCCAGACATAACCAATAATCAAGTCTTCCAGAAGACTTAGATAATGAGATTAATTACATAATTAGATTATAGGACTGAGCAATTGGATCTCCATAGACAGGACTAGACACCCTGCTCTAAAATTATTTTTGAAAAACAAAACAAAAAAAGGGATTTTAACACAAACATCTGGCTTTTATTTCACTGCATTTATTCCTTTGTTAGTTGCTGTTTTAAGCAGTGCTTTAAAACTCCACAGTTCATACCTAATTAGAAGTGAGTTTATCACCACTTTTAAACAGGGTTATGAAATCTTTCTTCAAAGCAGCATTAGCAATTTTGTTAACCCCATTTTGCATTGTCACACTTGTTTTTGATCTCACGAGGAAACATAAGTTTTGTCAGTTTAGTGGCTAATTCGCACGAATTTGTACGAGTTTAGTCATATTAAAATGTATGATTTTAAAAAGGCGGGGCACCCAACCCCACCCCTAACCGTCATTGGGTGATGAGCAAATTGTACTAAATTGTACGAATTAGATTGGACGAATTCATACGAATTAGCCACTCAAATCAAAAAGTTGCGAATTGCAGTGAGATTGCGTTGAATCTACAGCGGCTGAGAGAACTCAAATGCGCTGCAAGTTAAGAAAGCAAATGCAAATGGAAAAACAGTTTGACAAAAATCATCAGTTTGACAACACATGTGAATACAGAAATGCACTGCAAATAGCACAGACCACAGCAGAAATGTATCAGGGGAACCCCAAAAAGTGACAAACCCACCTGCTTCCTGTTTAGAGGTGTTGTAGAGTGGTGTTGTCAGAGATCAACAA